GAAAAATCTGTCCCTATTTTTAAAATTTAGCAAATTTCAAAATATAACCATCAAAATATTACCTAAAAAATGTAAAAAATAAAAACAATTTTTTTGGTAGAAAATGAATTCGGCTAAATAAAATAAAAAATGATGTGATAAAAACATAAATAATTTTTTAAAAAATAAAATTCTGTTAAAAATTTTTTTCTTCTATTGGAAATTTTATCAAGAAAAAACCCGAAGAAAAATTTTTTATGGTCAAAAACAAAATAATCACTAAATTTCATACTTAAAAAATAACATATAAATTAGAGATCAGAAACCATGATATCTTTATTTTACGTAATTTCTTACAAATAACCAAATTAAATGATTATATAAAATCGGTTTATTATTTATAACAATTGTAAAACTTTAAACCATTCATTAGAATTGTTTTTTTTTTTTTTTTACATAATTAAAAAAAAAATTATCCTGCTTTTTAGCAAACCATTTATAATTCCTTTTTTTCAATATATATTATTTTACCCTTTCACCCCATTCAAATAATAAAATAATAAAATCTACAAATTTAAATCATAACAAGCTAAAGTAACTGGATTTTTAATCTTATCACTCAAAAGATGATCTTTTAAAAAATGAATTTTCTCTCAATTAAAAAATTGATTTTTGGTAAAATTTTCTAAAAAGAGTAGTTATCTAAAAAAACTTTTTTTAAAGAGTTCAAAATTTAAAATTCAAATTCTATTCATTAATTTTTTTTTTTTTTTTTTTTCTATTTTTTTCAACAATATTTTCAAGATGTTTCTTAATTAAAAATTTATCCATTTATAATTTAATATTATTAACGTTTTATATCTACATTAATAAATAAACAATCAATTGGTGAATTGAAAAATAGTATAATTGATGAAAAATTTACGTCGAATTGCCAGCATAATTATTTAGTTTATGTTTGTATATATGCATGTATTGTTGTGCCATTTTCTTGTTTGGATCTACCTGAACAAAAAATAATTCAAATATTACTCTGTATATTCAGATTTTTATCAATAGGTGCAATTATTGTAACGACACTAGTTGGTATTTACAGGCCAAATTCACAACAGGATAACAATGACCCACCACATATTGCACCGGGCAGTAAATTATTTAAATTAAATGGGCTTTATTTGATTTTCACTGCAAGTATATTTGTACAGGTTATCCACCATAGCGTAACGATCATTAGTGAAGGTATACCAGATAAATCAAAATTAAGGTTTTCATTTACTTCTTCATTGACGACGACCCTTTTACTATATACCTTAGTTGGTACCGTTTGTTCATTGTATTTTGGTAAAAATACCAAAACAGTCATTACTCTGAATTGGCTTGATTATACGGCAAACTATAAAAACGCACCAGTATGGGCTTCGATAATTAAGTATATAATAATATTATTCCCAATGTTAGATTTAATTTCAATTTTCCCCTTGAAGATCGTTACTTTAGGCACAGGGATGCAATCCTTTTTTTACCCACAGACAATTGGAAAAACAGATTTAAAGTCAAAGCTAATCAAAATCGCCTTTAGATTAGTTAGTTCCTTGCCACCAATAATCGGTTCAATGTTTGTCAAAAAATTACCTTTAATTATCTTTTTTATTGGTATAACTGGGTGCTTTATTGGATTCATCTTCCCTTCATTATTGCAATATAAATCTGGCAAATTAAGTAAACAGATTTATAACACAGATAAAACACCCTACTCCGATTTCAGCAGCTCTGATAAATTTTCAATTTCCTTTTGCATATTCGGAGTTTTTTGTTTAATTTGTTCTATGTGCAGTTCAATATATTCAACTGTAATAGAATATGAAAATTAATAATGTTTAGTGATTTGAATTAAAATTTTTTGTTTTGTTTTTCTTTTATTGGTTGTTTCTTTTTTCATTTTGAATTTTATTTTTATAATCCTTACAAATTTAAATAAACTAATTCAAAATTTTTGTACAACCTAAAATTCAATTTTTGAAGAAAAAAAATCTTTTTAAATAAATACTATAAGATGTACACAAAATTTGAATCATTTGTCGATTTAAATGTTAAAAATTGTTTATTATTTACAAGACTCAACAAAATAAAAAAATAAATAATTCTAAAGAAAAAAAAATCAAAAAGTGTGTTAAAAATTTTGGAGAGATGGGTAAGATAAAAAACCTATTGAGAAGATTTGTTTAAAATTTTCGGTGGAATTTTAGTCGATCAAATGGTTTAACACCATCAACTTTTTTGATTTGAGTTTTTCTATTTTTTACAAGAACCAAACTTTAACTTAATCTCAAACATTCAAAAAAACTTTTTATGATCGAAAGAAAGAGGTTAGGTAATTCAAAAAAAGAAATGAAAAAATGATTTTCATATTTTACAAAATAAAAATTTATTTCCAATTTGATTGAAATTCTATTATTGTGATTGTTTGGACTGTTTTGACTGTGTGTAAAATTTTGAATTTTAGTTTATATATATATAGGTGTGTGTGTGTGTGTGTGTGTGTGTGTGTGTGTGTGTGTGTGTGTGTGTGTGTGTGTGTGTGTGTGTGTGTGTGTGTGTGTGTGTGTATGTCAAAAACATGAAACAAGCCGAAGATAAAATTATTTTGGAATATTTGTCGAAATGTCACCAATAATTATTGATTGACCAAATGATAAGATATCATCAACTAATTTTATTTAGATTCTTCTATTTTTGACAAAAAATATTTATCCTAATATCAATTGCTTTGAAAAACTTTTTATGACTGAAAGAAATCAGTTACTTAATCCAAAAAAAATAAAAAGATTACAAAAAGATAAGAAAATGATTAAAATATTTTACCACAATTGAAATTATTTCTAATTTAACTGAATTTATATTATTCTTTTAGTTGTAATTTTTTTAATGTTATCAATAATTTTGAATTTCAAAAGATTTATTGTCAAGAAATAAGTATTTATAAGCTATTTCCAAGAAAGTTAGGCATTTTTTTTTTAATATATATAGATGTGACCCATCCTTCAAAAAAGGATTTAAATATATAAAATCATCAACCACCATTTATTGATTACTGGTAATAATTCAATTTGTTTCTTAGTATTGTATTGTATAACTAAAATTTATTAAAATTTCTGATCTCGATTTTATCTGATATTTTTTATGTGTTAAAATTGGTGTTTATTATTTTCTTTTTGATCGAAAAAATCATTTCCATAACTTTTATAATCTCAACAAAATTTACATTCTAATTAAAAACATATAAATGCGTATTCATGTTTAAAAAATCATTTGTACCTTTTCCATATTTCCAGTTTTTTATTGAAATTGGTCGTACATTGCTTTAACCAAAAAAAGTACTATTTTTTTTTTTTTCAGTTTTTGGGAATATTTCAATTAACATGTTTTGAATTAAATTCAGAAGTAGTTAGTTCAATCGGTATAAATATTAAACTTAATTTTTTATTCTTGGTCAATGATAACCATCACGAAAAAAGATTATTTTTTATGGAATGTAAAAAAAAATATCTCACTTTCTTGGAAACACCTTACACTTTTATCTAAAAAAGAAGGCTTTTCAAGTTATTAATTTGCAACTTCGCATTGAAAGGGTAAATATAACAGATAGTATATATATATATATATATAATCTTAATTTAGTTTTCAAAAAAAAAAAAAAAAAAAGAGGGAATAAAATAATATAATTTTTACTAATTAAAGTTTCCTAACTTTTTTTTTCCAAATACTAATTATTTTCCGAATTCCCAAACTGATTCCATTTTTGTAATTTTTATAGAATTTCAAAAATGAAATTTTGGAATCATTATATTAAAATGATTCCAAGGGAATCAATTTTTATCAAACATTTTCCACTTGTTAAAATCCTTTTGAAGTCTAAATTGTCAAAAATATAAAAATTATTTTATTCGGAATACATAGATTCAAAAAAAGAATTTTTCTTTGAGACCAAAACTCTATTAAAAAAAAAAAGAATTTTTTGATTCCATTTCAAAAATAATTTTCTTATCAGAAATAAACTTAAAAATATCAGAATTGGCGAAATGATGATGAAAACTAAAATCCCAAGAAGAAAAACCACTAATATTTATTTATTCGAGATTTATTAAATTCCTTTAGAAAATAAAAAAAAAAAATTATTAATTATTAAATTTCGAGAATGATGTGATTCCTTGAAAAAATGAATGTAAACAAGTAATGAGTTGAGACTTATAATTGGAAGAAAAAAGAATCATTTGATTTCATCGAATCAAAAAAAAGAATTATTTTGGGTTTTTTTTCAAAAAAGAATCAAAATATGAGCTCTCCTTATTTTTTATAATAGACCTTTAAAGAACAAATAAAGAATTAATAATTAATAAACTTCTAGGAATAGTTGATATTGTCTGAAATGAAAACTATTATATCAATATATATTCTTAAAAATTGAAAAACTTAAATTCTTTGGGTTGTATTGTTCAAAATAGCAAGGTTCCTTTTGATCTTCAATTGTATATCCAAATAAAATTTTAAGAGAATTCAAAATTATTTCTCTACAATCATTTTGACTGTTTAAGTAACATTAGAATAACATGTTTCTATAAAGTGGTTATCGATCTTGCCATAAAAAAAAATTATATATGAATTAGGTTTCAAAAAAAGTAAAAAAAAAATAAATGATAAATTGAAATGCCAAAAAATAATACATATTTTGTATTTTATAACTATTAAATTTTTTTTTTTAATATAACTCAAACCTATTTAAATATTTAGAATTCATAAATTGTAACTAGGCATTTTTGACTGTAAAATGTTTTATGTTAAAAAAAAAAATGAAATAAGGTTTTGATATTTGAAAATAAAAAATTTATAAAATAGTTTGAGTTATTTGGATTGAGAAAAAATAAAGCAACAATATTAAAACAAAATGTTGTATTCAATAATGCAGTACAACATCTCTAGTTTCACAATTGTAACCTTTTGTTTGATCTAATTATAAAAAAAGATAGCATTGGGAGGTATCGATCCGTCCGACCTTCAGGTTATGAGCCTGACACGCTTCCTCTGCGCCACAATGCTAAATACAGTAAAAGCTTAATATTGTTTTATTATTTTGTTTTATAATTGTGTATATCAAGACAAAAAAATCGTAAAAAAAACATTTTCTAATTCTGACTATATATTTGATATTTCTTATTCTGATAAATGAAAAAACTGATTAGTATTACATAACGTTCCAATTTTCAGAAACAAATTTTGAAGGAACTTTCTGCCAGAAAAAATTTAAAAAAAGTAAGCTACAAAAATCAAATTCTAATAAAATAATCAGTGAGAAAAAAAATTCCAAAAAATTAACTCTAAAACAAAATTCTTTTTAACTTAAATTTCCTCTAAAGTTTGTAATTACAAAGTGGAACTCACTCCAAAACAAAATTTTTCATCAAATTACCATATTATTCAAATCTAATAAATATGAAAATTAAATTATATAAAAGTGAAACTCAACCCACTTATTACAATTAAAAATCAACAATGGTCACAAACTATAGTCTGTCCACTTTGATTCCAAGGTTGATCCACACCATAAAAAGTATTTTATTATCTTTTTAATCCAAATTTATATCCAATACATATTTGATCGAAATATTCGAAAAATTTGAAAGGTTTATAGCTTTATTATCCATTTAAAACACTTTTTTAAATCTGATATTCCTTCTAGAGCAACCACTAACCACTTTCTGATTTTTCAATAAAAATAGTATCTATTGTTGTAAAAATAAATTATTGAACCAATGCTGCACAATAACAATCCTATTTCTTTTTTTATAGAAGGCTTACATTTAATCATCAAAAAAATAGAAACTTTACGCTAAATAAAGCTGCTACTGGTCCCGTAAAGTTCCAACTCTGAAAAATTAAATTCTAAAAATGAAGAATCAAATACTAATTTTTGATCGAAGACTAGAGTAAATATTGGGGAGTAAACTTTTAATGAAAAAATATTCTTCAAAATACTGAAATTGACAAAAAAAGAAAAATTTCAACAAATTCAATTCATAATTTAATATTTTACGGAAACAATCAATGGTTTTACCTTCAAAATTGATTTGACCTAAGGTGTACTATGGGATATTCGATTATAATTATATTGATACAAAAGAAAAAAAAGTGTTAATGATCAATGTCTACTCGATTTTATGAGTTTTTTTTAAAAAATTTCCATGAATTGAAGATAGTTTTTGGTATTCCACGCTTACAGATATATATATAAATATATATATATATATATATATATATATATATATATAACCTTTTGATGGTTTTCTACGGTTTTTTGTCCAAATATAGAGACCTTTTTTTTAACTTTATGTAAGAACAAAATACTTTTAACAATTTTTTGTATATATTTACTTACTTTTATAGTGCATCAAAATCAACACAACCTGGAAACATAATCTCTTTATATTAGATTTTTATTGAAAAATTTGTAATTTTTCCAAAAAAATATCAACTTAAACTCTTACACTCAAACTGCCATTTCCAAAAATGATAACTACATTTTTTTATAAGAACCAAAGGAAGATTATTCATAAATACAAGAAAGAATATAATTCCTATTAGAGTCGAGAATCATAAAAAAATACCTGAACAAACCATAAACTTCAAAAAAAAAAAAAATTTTTTTTAGACACCTTTCATTGGAACTTCTCCTGCAAAATTCTCAATTTCTTTGGAAAATTAAAATTGTTAAAAATATTTATTTATTTATTGTGAGAAAGGATAAATCAAATAAAATTTACTAAATAAAAAAAGAAAAGAAGAAAAATAATTAAAATATTAAAGTAAAAAAAATATTATACCATTGACATGACCAAATTAAAATTTATCTACTGTCGTTAGGTTTTTCAGGATTTGACAGAATTGATATAAAATCCTTGATTTTACTAAATTATTTCGAATTCTCGAAAAGCGCAGTTAGCCTTTTTTTAATTTGAGAAATAAAAAGAATATTTTACAAAAATTTTCTTTTTATCTCTCTAATAAAAAAAAGCACGGTTAACTTTTCTTGAGTTTTCGTTTTATGTGTGAAGTGTTCGAGGTTTTTTTGAGGTTTTCTATTTTATTTGGAAAATCTATTGAGTTTCGATTGGTTTTTTTTGGGGTTTGGATTTATTTATGATATCGATAGATTTTCTAAATAAAATAGAAAACCTTAAAAAACCCTAGAAAATTTCACAAATAAAACAGTAAACCTCAAGAAAACCGCCAATGGGTTTTTTTAATATTAGAAATAAAAAGAAAATTCCTGAAATTTTCTTTTTATTTCTCAAATGAAAAAAAAACCTAGGCACTTGACATCACTTCTCCTGAAAGGAAGAGTAAAAACCCGAGAGAAAGATTATTAGAAATAAATAAGATTCCATAAACTGTGATTAATAAATTGTTTTTCCACGACTCCGAAAAGTGGGACACTATGTACCCGAATTTGTATATTTTTTTACTATTTTAGGAATTTTTTATTTTCAAAATTGTTGAAAATAATTTTTTTTCAATTGTAAAGTAGTAAAAAAAAAGACCAACATGAAAATAATCCCCAAATTGATTTTTAATTGTGAATATTAGGGAAATTGATCTGTAATTTCATTTATTAAAAATCAAATCCTTTTTTTAAGAATCAAACTTTTTGATTATATCTCACCTACTTATTAAAATGATGATTAATGTAATCACACTTGTTCAGAACACCATTCATTCAATCAAAAAACAAGAATAAAAATTATCTTTTCCAAACTCTAGTAACCTCTATAAAACCCCATTGTTTTTCTAAAGAAAGTTGATCTATTCATGGTTTCTCACAATTTTTTGAGTATTCTAGAGAAAGCCTACTTTAATGAACTTTAGGAAGGTTTAATACTTATCCCATGTAAAAAATTGGTTATTTGTAATAAGGATTTGATTGAAAATTAAAGAAATCACATAAAAATTTTCCTAATATTCACAATTAAAAATCTTGTTGTGATTATTTTCATGTCAGGTATTTTTTTTTCCAACTAAATATATTACCATTTTAAAAGAAAATACAAATTCTGGCTCTTCTGTAGTTTAATTTGGTTTTTCTTAGATTTTTTTTTCTTTCAAATTGAATTTATTAAAAAGTAAATTTGAAAAGAAAAAAAAAATACAAAATGAAAAAAAAAATGATTAAAAGAAAAAACCAAAATAATAAAAAAAAAAAATTTTTTACAAAATGAGAAAAAATGATTATGATCAAAAAATATCAAATTTATTTTGAGAAAAATAATGGATTAAACTCATAGAATATGTTCTATTTCTTCAATAAAACGGAAATAATTTGATTGAAAAAGAGTTTAATTATTTAAGTCCCAATAGATTGGGTTAAAGTCAAAATAATTGAGATGTCCGCTAGTAAAAAATTCAATTTAATATAAAATGAATTTTTTTTTTTTATTATTATTTTGATTTTGAAGAAAATTAAAATCAATTTTAATCTCTTAGGATCTTAATTATTTAAAAATAAAAAGAACAATTTTTGAGATCCTAAATTAAATATTTTTTTATTGGAATTGGTTTGTTTGTTTATGGAATAGATGGGTCAAACATATCTATACTATTGATTATTTTGAGTTTTATTTTTGGAATTCTAAAACCTACATAATTTCAATCTAAAAATAAAAAAAGGTAACAGATTATTTTTAATAAACAAACAAGTTAATTCTTGAAAAGGGTAAACACTAATTTTCATTTTATGTTCGAAAAAATTGATTTTGGTAAAAAGAAAATTTTCCATTTTGTTATTATTTTTAATTATTAATAATTAAATTTAAATATCAGACAACAATACGAATTGTGGTATAGGTGATAAAATATATTAAATCTTGAGAAAAAAATAACAAAAGTTTATCAAAGAAATTTAGATCTATTATGCAGATTTTTTTTTATTTTTTCAAATTTAAAAAAGTTGTTTAAATGATTTTCAAAAAATGAAAAAAAAAAAAAAAAAGCAAAAAAAATTGTCAAATTTGGGATTTTTTTAAAAAAATTATATGGTATTATTAACATAAATCCATATAACAATTCAAATATTTTTTTAACATATAGAGATGTTTTTGAGTTTTGATGTTAAAATTAAAAAAATTCTCAAATATTCTGAAGAAAATAATTATTTTGAAAAAATCAAATTTCATATTTAAAAAAAAATCATTTCTTGATCTAAACTACATTTCAAAAATTGTTGCTCATTTAAAAAAGTGGATTGAAGAAAAAAAATATCATTTACTATTAAGAACAATACTCAAAATTAAATCTCATTAGTAATTCATTTTTTAGTCTTTCCCCATTAAACTCTTTTGAATTCAAAAGTGCAAGTTAAAAATGAAAAATTCCTTTTATTATTAAGAAGCAACCAAACTTAGATTGTTTAGAAATACAAGAAATAATAAATAACGTATTACAGTCGATAATCATAAAATAAAATCTCGAACAAACATTAAATTTCAAAAAAAAAAAATGCTAAAACATTTTTATGTCCCTTTTCATTGGAATGCGTGGTGCAAAATCTCTCAAATTCTATAGGGAATTAAGATTCTTGACATTAATATTTTTGACTTGTAAATGCATGAATTTTACAAGAACACACAAAATCTAACTTTTCTTAATGTTAATTTTGAGTTTCTAGAGATTTTTTTTTCAAATTAAATTTTTTATAAAAATAAAATAGAAAAAAAGGGAAAAAAAAAAAATTACAAAAAACATAACAAAAAAAAAATTTACAAAATGAGAAAATGTGTTTTTGATCTAAAAATTGAAATTTTACTTTGAGAAGAATAATGAATTAAACTCATAGAATATGTTCTATTTTATCAATAAAGCTGTGTCACTTTAACTGAAAAAGAGTTTATATAAAATAATCTAATCACCAAATTAAAAATTGTGACTCAATTGAAATAATAACTTGAAAGAATCTATATATATATATATATACCCTTGAGATATCTAAAAATAATAAATAATTAAATATGATTCATAATTCACTTTTAAATCATTCTAAACATATAAAA